GCATACCCAAAATCTGTAGGAAACAGAGGTCCTGCATCCCTATTGGTTCACTTTATAGATTTACAAGCTCTTATTGGCTCTACCCCGCCCTTGGCGAAAGTGCTGTCCATCCGCACCCGATGGGATAAGACGACCCCATTGAGACTTTGATTTATGTCGTGAGTGGACTACAAGGGCGGTTTGCTAATAATAAGAGCGGCTAAAAATGGGATGAAGCTCCCTCATCCTAACTCTATAAGGGTTAGCTCCCGCGCCTCCACTAAAATAGCATGAAAGCAAGTCGACCTGCGCTAATCCGTGCCCAGGAATCAGCCCCCTCAAAAAGGTTCCCCGAGGGTACGTTCCCAGGAACCAGTTCCTTGCGCCAGGCACCATTCCCAGGAATCAGACCCCTGCGTTAGTCCTGTTCCCAGGATCTATAGACACGTGGAAAAATCCCGAGGGTACTGTTCCCAGGAACCAGCGGTCTGCGTCAGGCCTGTTCCCAGGAACCGGACCCCTGCGTAAGTCTTCTTCCCAGGAACTAGACACCTGGAAAAATCCCGAGCGTACTGTTCCCAGGAATCAGACCCCTGCGTTAGACTTGTTCCCAGGATCTGTAGACACGTGGAAAAGCCCCGAGCGTACTGTTCCCAGGAATCAGATACCCTAAATCATTCCGAGATGTTGTTCCCGGGAACCAGTCCCCTGCGCCCAGCAGTGCCTTGGCACGAAAATTTCCGGGGGGCGATTCCCTAGGGCTGTGCGCCTCAGAGGTGGGGCACTATAATTCACAACGCCCAGTCCCGTCTAGGATTGCCGCAATTTCTCCAACTTTAAACGAACTTTTTACATCACACATGGCTAGCTGCGTACAATCCCATATAGGTTGTTCATGGTTAGCTCACTGTCTTGCTCGTGGCGATTAATGTCTCGGGATCGTCTACGTCCCCGTGCGCTTTCTGATACCTCGTCGAGAGTTGGCACAAGAGCTCGACCCTACCATCCTTTCGAATCTGGTTGCTGTTCTCTAAAAGAACCTTGACCATGATTCGTGTAATAATGCGATCGAGGGCTATGTCGAATATACCGAGATCGGCATAATCGTATAGAAGCTCGGCACCTTAATTGAAAGACTGCATTAAACGTTGAATAATGGCTAACGACTACGACTTGAGCATCCGATATTATTCCTCGATGGCCAACATCGCGTGGAGGCCGCTAAAATCGCTTTTGGAGAGAATGTAATGTGGACTGTGAGGCTTTTATCGAGGCCCGGTACAAACCTCTCCGCCTTTATACAAAACCGTGTAACATGCTAGACGCTTGACAGGCTGTTACACTAAACACGGTACTCGGACGGTGAAGTCTTCTGTTAGGTTACTCAACTTTGGAAGATAAGCAGTTTTGAACAGGCTTGAGAATGGATAGCGCGGCTTGGCGCTCAGAAAAGGGTCAACCTCGATATGATAAAAGACAATTATCGGGTCTTCAGTTGTCTGGATGGTTTAAGCCATTTCCCTGGTCTGCTCAGCGACCTGCCCTTAGGTAGCTTTTATAGATACCTGGCCTTACATTGCGACGATGAGATTGTAAACTACCTCTAGCATATCCGCCATGTCTGGCTTGGCTTGATATGTAACCACCCCGACATTGTCGATGTTGGAACCGTTTAACTGCTCGAGGGACGTGCGCCTGGCATGAGCGACACTGACCGCTAATTGGTGGAAGAAGCATTTGATAGTAACGAGATCTTTTCGAAAGCCCAGAACCCTCAGCTTCGAGACTAGATACGGAGGAGCGTCCTTCGTTTTAAAGGTTTTGTTCCTAGTTTGAAATCCTACTAAGAGAATATGAAGTATATATCTATCGGCGTAATAGTCGTGGATGACCTTATGTTCCCCGATTCGGCGCGGACCAAATCCTGGAAGAGATAGTAGACTGATAGGCGGACATTCCGAGATATGCTGCGTTAGCACTGGTCGCCACCGCGGCAGAATCTGGTGGAAGTAAGAGAAGGTGTGCTGGCTTAGTGCGTGGGCGAGCCCGTTTTTGATGTGGCCTATAAGTAGGTTATTCTCGCTGCTATGCGTAATTTTCTACGGCTTTCCGACTAATTCAAGCTGAGGAAAGATAGGATAGAGAACAGGTCTTTACTAGGAACTGATCTAGAAGTCGTTTCCATATTCTATAGCAGGGCCTCTATGCTGGGTTTTAATATTCCGAACTGTAATCTGCCTTAACGGAGGCCATGCATCCTAGTCACACGTGACGTCGAGACTGGCGTCGAAATTCCCCTGAGCTAACGATGGGGGGTTCAATACGTTGGCGTGCTACGCGCTATACGGGACGTTATGTTCCTTCCCTAACTTGCCGAAGCCTAGTCGTCTAGAGCTTCCGTTATATTTGTCAAGAAAGACTTTATATATTCTTTCCTCGGAGCTTGCGATTCGTACTGGCTATTAGACGAGACAGTTACACTTGATGGGCGCTTGGGCCAGTCCCGGACAAGCGACGATGAAGTCTATATGGAACAATATGCGCATGTAGATAGTCCTTAAAGGCCTCCGACGGATACTGACACATTGCTTTTCTCTGATATAGCAGCGCCCCTAACCGTCAGCCATAGGAACTCTTAAGATGCCACAGTCTAAAATCTTGCGGCACGGCATCAAGTAGAACATACCCGCCCTGATTCGATCATGAGCCTCACTGCCGTGGTTCAGGATCCTATGGACGAGTGGTTAGAAGTAAGTTTAGCGAGAGCATAGCATGTCGAATCTGGCCTCGAGACCAGTTACCTTTTGCGAACTTCGTCCTAGTCCCGGTTAGGAATCGACACGCCACTGCATAGTTGGTCAGGCAGAGAAAGCACCAGCGATACATATTACAATATGACCACTATTCGGCCACGTTTACCCACGTCAAGTACATATGTTACTTCCCCCCTGTCGATGTCCTCTCGTTCGGCCATCGAATCCATTGACTTCAGTGCACTCTCAGGCCACTTTGAACCGGAGGGTTCCCAGAGCAAGGTCCAAGAGTCAACGATCCCTGCGACAAATTCGAGACGGGAGATCCGCTCAGCGCGGCCTTTATCACCTGTATCTTCGTTACCGTGGACTTCGGCAACGCAAGACTTAATGCGCCCAAGCTTGCCCTTGAGGTCAACCAACCTTCACGTCCTGAAGAATGATGGATTAAGCGAAAACCCCGTGTCAACACCAGACTCATCGGCAATCCATTCACGTTCTGAGATAGGGGCCCGTAGCTTATCTCAAACGGAACAAAGCTGGTTTCGTCGTCTACCGCCGCTCAAGTTGTACCTCCCATCGCTTCAACGAGCTTTTGAGTCTCATTTGCAATCTGAGAGTGGCCCTACTAGAAGATTTGACGATGGAATGAGCCCGTGGAGCAGCGTCCCATTATCGCCGGCTTCGGGACACTCGCGGTCGGAAATAGGTACGCCATTGATGACCCAACACGGCAGGACTTGTGTACGTCAAGAGGTGCCCGTTATGAACCGGTCAATCAAGACCAGTATTGGGACATTGTTTGATCAATAGCGCTACTGACAATGACTGCAAGTTCGTGGGCTGTTCGTTGATTATCGGGTTATAGAAAATTAACAGCAGATTATTGCATGTACTACCTGCTATTGACATAGAGAAAAGTCCTCTAACCCCTCTATTCTTATCAATTTTACGAGACAAATGAACTGGTGATTTCAAAGATGGATATATATTCAGGGCGAGTATCGATTTACACCCAACGGGCGGTTCTTACATTCGTCCGACAGAACGGAGTTTGCACCATTACTATTTGATAGTGGAAAACCGGAAAGGTTGATCTACAGCTCCTACATGATGCCTTCCTTCACGATCACAATGTTGCCATCCCCATCCCTATCATCAACAGGACTCTGAGAGAAGTCTTGAGTCTTGCTAATCCGCCCGTGGTGCGGGCAGTCTCTGCAGACAACGTCTCCATTCTGATGACGATCGTAGCCATCTAGAGTCAGGCAATAATGATAAGAGGCACCGCAAATTTTGATTTGCTGTTTGCAGCCTTCGGCAATGCAGGTTCGCCGTACATGTACATTGTTGAGATGGCCGCACACTGAGCATGAGCCTTTTCCGCTTGATGATTTCATCGTGCTATGGGGCCATTAAGCAAGTCTTCAAAGGACAAAGTTTCGAAGTTTTACCTGTCAAACAGATGTAGTTGAATTCAATTTATTAGTCTTAGTTCGTGGTGAGCAATCGTCCACGGGTCGCCACGACTGCTGCTTGCGACACGTTAAATAAGTTGGCCATTTCGTCTCTGCTATTCGAAGAATTAAGCGCTGAACCTGGTCTAGAGCGCAAGGATTATAGCCGCTCGAAGATTAAGATGGCACCAACGATAACGCTGGTGGTGGTGGTGGTGGTGGTGGGCGGCAATGCGAGCAAGGCAGCGATTCATGGATCGGTGCGGAGGGTGTCGTCGACTAGTGTGTGAGTTGGTATGACGGGGTAACAAATTAGTTATGGTCCTTTTGCCGCTGGCTGATCTGTGCATCCAGCATCTCCGTACTCATTGCAAATTTGATCGTCTCTTTGACAACGCCTGATTGTACACAGTCGAAAAGACAGTAGCTCAGCAGGCAATCACAGGATGGAGAGAACGACGGGACTGCGTTTGTGCAACCAGACAAACAGAAAACCTGACAATTACAGTAGTACTGCAAACCCGGAGCAGTCGCACGCGAATCCACCTGCAGTTTGATGCAGCTGATCACTATATGTTTCATTTGAAATAATGTTATTCTGTTTCTTACGACTGTGTAAGGGAGGGGTTATGTCGGGCTACCCCCCGGAAACTCTTGCGAGACTCAGGTGTGCTTAAGGTGTTTGCGCATCCCATAGATTATTGCTTGGCAAGACTGGTAGAATCCCCTCAATCAAAGATGAAAATGCAAACCACAATCAAATCCGACTTTATCTCAATCCGCGCAGTAACCAGATCAGGTACACCTTTGTCTTGCTGACTCATGACCTCGAAATACATACATACATACATAGTTTATTACGCCCCGGCTAAGCTATTCAGGGCTCGTGTGATTATCTACATGGTCTCCACTTTCGTTCATATCCTTGCCTCCCAGAAGCCCATACAAGTCTCGTCCGTCTCCGTATGTGTCATCTTCAGTTTTACGTGCCAATGCTGCCGCCTGATGCGTGGTTGTCGGAGGCAAGAAGGAAGCATGACCTCGAAATAGTAGAACTAAGTAGCACAGACAGTTGTTTATTGGCAACTTTTCGCAGACGCCCCACTGGGCATAAAACGATGATCAAAAGTGCGGAAGCATCGAGGTGCCAGGTTGATTTGATAATGTACTCGTAAGATCCCAGTAATAGAGGAAGCAGACTCCAACCGAACACGAGGAAGGAAACTACGCAGGAGATGATTACTCCAAAGTCATAGTTGGATCCGATGTCCTGCCACTCATACATGGGCAACTTTTCGCGGAAGAATTTGACTCTGTTGGTGCCGTTGTCGTAGACGACCTCGGCCCTCTCGACCAAGTCGTCCCGGTTGATCAAAACGGCACCGCCCTGGCCTCCGGACGTGACGTTCTTCGTCTCGTGGAAGCTGATGCAGCCGATGTGCCCAATAGTGCCAGAATACACACCGCGATATTTGGAAGTGAGGCTCTGTGCTGCATCTTCCACAACGAGAAGGTTGTGACGGGACGCAGTGTCCATCAGTGCGTCCATGTCGCACGAGATACCGGCGTAGTGGACCGGGACAATGGCCCGCGTTCTTTCGGAGATTGCAGCCTCGACCAGATTTGCGTCCATGTTCATCGTGTCCCTCTCGATATCGACAAACACAGGCGTGGCCCCCCGGCTGACGAAGGCGTTGACCGTGGACACGAATGTATAGCTGGGAAAGATGACTTCGTCACCTGCTTGAATATCGATAACCATGGCGGCCATCTCGAGCGCTGTCGTCCCGGAGGTCACCAGGAAAGCCTTTCCGGCTTGCATCATATCTTCTAGCCATTCCTCGCACCTTTGTGTATACGGCCCTTGAGCCAACTTTCCTGTCTTCAAGACATTGTCGACGTATTGCAACGAGTTGGGCGGCTGGAAAGGCTTTGAGTACGGGATCATGGCTGTTCAAGGAGAAAAATAACGTTTTAACTTAAGTTTTTCTCCATCCATAGGGAAGAAAGGGAAGATCAAACCTTTTACATATTTTGTCCACATGCTCGTCTTCGGGAAAAGTAGTTGAGAAGAACCGTTTCGGGCTGAGGAGATGGACGGTTGGCCTTCCGGCTACTCGTCTCAAAGTCTCGTCGCCGGCTAGCGAATCAGAAAATCTAGCTTCCAGACTGGCAGTGCCATGCAAGGCCACGGCTTATCAAATTACAACGAGTTGCCAGACCGTCGTCTGCCCTGGTCAGTCAGCATCAATACGGAGAATGTAACAGCACTGAGGCACACCGCTCAATCGGCTGAAAACTCCTTCGGTACTTCCGAAGGCATGGAAGGCTATTCCGGAAACAGGCCAGTCAATTTATGCAAACTTTATCAGAAGTCATCACCAGGCTTGTCTTGACGACACGATCAAATCGATGGGAGCCACTCTTACTCCACCTTCAAAGGTTATAGAGAGGGTCCATGCTTCAACACTTGGTCTGTCATATTGGTGAAGCAGCCACGCGATAAGATATCTTTCCTACCGCAGCCAGCATGAGTTCACTATAATACTTGGGAATCTAATATCATGTTGTCAGTCAGGCCAAGATGGCGATTTTGTGGCACTTGCTACTCGTTTTGGCGTCAGTTGCCGTGGCGCATGATGTCCCTCATTATTCAAATAAGATTGCTAAGCGGGGTCTTTACATCCGAGAGCAAACAGCCTCAAGCAATTTCGCCACGAAAGTACCAGTTATTGACCTAGGATATGCTCGTTATGAGGGTTATTATGACTCCTCATTCGACATCTTCAGCTACAGAGGGTAAGGACGTGGAAACCGCACCGAGTGCTTGGACAGCTGCTAAGCTCAAGTTTCCCTTGCAGAATACGCTATGCAGCAAAGCCTGGAAGATGGCAGCTTCCCAAAAGACCAGCTCGTGGACAGGCAGGAGACAGAGTCTTGCCCGCTACTCAAAATCCGCCTAGATGCCCTCAGTCGCCGCCGGGGCCAATGTCAGTGGGGATGCCTTGACTGTCAATTTCAAGAAGCTGACTCTCAATAGTGTACCCAACTATACGTTCGAGAAAGACGCCATGGGTGATGAGGATTGTCTATTTCTGAATGTGTTTACTCCTGCCAACAAGACTCGGCTACCGGTGCTGTTCTGGATTCGTAAGCCTGCCACTTTCACCTTGATCACTTCTCGGATCAGCAAACCGTCCGCAGAAAAGCTGATTAGCGACAAGATGGTGGCGGATATGGCCAGGACTGGGCTGCCAACTATGATTTTTCGCACATGGCCAAGACGGTAGGCAACGGCTTTGTGACAGTCATCATCCAGTACCGGCTCGGCGCTTTTGGCTTTGCCTCGTCAGCTGAGATTGGTCATTTCGGGGTACCCAACGCCGGCATTCACGATATGCGATTTGCTTTGGAATGGGTGCAGGACTACATCCATCTCTTTGGAGGCGACCCTGCTCGCGTCACCATCGCTGGAGAGTCTGCCGGTGGAGGTGGTGTGATGCTCATGACGATGGCCCACAGCGGCTCTGATGAAACCTTGTTTCAACGCGCCATTGTATCGAGCCCGTATCTGCCCACTCAGTGGTAAGATTCACGGTCTTGCGCTCAACCTGACCGAAGTTAACGTATTGACACTATGTTGTAGGGATCATGATGATATGCAACCTTCTCAGGCATACTATGATTTGGCTACCAAAGCCGGATGCCTGGATGTTAGGACCACAAAGAACGGGAGCGTTTTTACTTGCTTACAAAATGTTGACAGCAATACCCTCCAGAACGCTAGCGCGTTTGTGAGTATGGGAGCCAGGTGGGGTCAGTGGGCTTTCCTGCCTGTGACTGATGGCAAATTCATCACGCAAAGGCCGACGGAGCAGCTTTTGAAGGGTCAAGTGAATGGGAAGGCTATTCTCTCAGGAGTGAGTTATCTTATCAATTTGAACCATACAACTTTGGTATGCTAACATAATTATGCGACAGAACAACGCCAATGAGGGGACACTGTTCGTCCCAACAGACATTACTGCTCGGGACAAGCTTATATCTCTCACACGACGGAGCTATCCGCTGTTGACAGACGCAAACATGAGTGCCATCTTGGAGATTTATGATATTGAAGATGAATCCGTCTCGGGCTCATTGTACCCGACCAACGGGTTGACTGCTCCATTCGCTACGAGCCATTCAGAAATCGCCTCAGGATGGCTACAGGCGGCGTACAACCTCTACGCGGAGGTCACATTCGTCTGCCCCGCCATGTGGCTCGCGGACGCTTTTGCCCTCAACAGTGACACTGCGGGTGGAGGGAAACAGGCATGGCGTTACCAGTATTCGCCACCGCCGTCTTTCCACGATGATGACCTAGACGTTCTCATGAAAGACGTGCAAGGAACTAACGACACTGACGGCGCCGACGAGAGCGTCGGGTTTAGAATCGCGTTCCAGAGCATGTGGGGTCGGTTCGTGATCGACGGAGACCCCACTCTGACCGACGATGTCGCGCGGGCAGTCAGTCAAGTCGGTGAAGATGTCTCTGCGGCGCAAAAGTCCCAGTGGCTGCCGTGGGGGTCGATGAACACGCGACTGAACGGCTCGACGCACGCCATGCTGAACCTGAACCTGACAAGTCCTGAGAGTGGGAAAGCTAACTTCCGAGTCGTCGATGGCTTGTCTTGGGAAGGGGGAAGAGGAAATAGGTGTAAGCTGTGGGCGGATCTGGGTTACTGGATTCAGTCATAATGGGAAATTTGTCTACTGGTTCGACATGTCATCTAGTAAGATGCGGCTGACTGTCTAAACAAAACAAGAATTGCGGGCAAGACATCCCAAAATAGAGGTTGAAATTGATCGAGTTACGTACTTATCGAGATTGATCGTCAAAATGAGACCGTCAACAGTCAAGTACCCATAGCTATTAATCTATCTGCTTCTCACACCCGATTCGGTTGAGGATCTCCCTCCGGCCGCTGAGAGCTCTGACGCCGCTCGCTCTGTTGCTGAACGACCTGTCATTGGAGTGTTCCCACGACGTCAAGTCAATAGACTCTACATCCACTTCCTCCGCGATCGCTTCCATCTCTTCGTACTTAAACTTTTCTTCTTCTTCCTCGTCGATATCCTTATCGCTTCTTACGTCTTTAGTAGGGGCTCCTTTGATTACCTATATAGATATACGGATAATAAAGAATGACTAAGCGTAGATAACGACTTTAAGGGTGTTACGACCCAACACGTATAATAAGGCCAGGGCCTCGCCCCACAGGACCTGCGGCAGCTACTATACTATGATTTAATTGATTTAATTAATTCCTACTTAGTTTTAGCCGCTTTAGTTAGTAACTATGCCTAGATAGTGGGGTTTAGCTAATAGCTAATGCGCTCTAGACGTTAATCCGTAGTGCCCTATTTCGCTAGTATAAAATACTAACTTGTTACGGCCAGCTAGTCGTAGTGAGTATGTTAGCAGAAGTTGAGGCTGCGAGTACTAAGTAAACAGTGTCGTAGTCGTGGATAGCTTCCCTGAAGCTATGTCTGTAAGTCGGAAGGTAGGTAAGGCTTCGGTGATCAATCGTAGTCTTGTCAGAAGGGGTTCTCAGTGAAGATAGCTGAAAGCGATCGTAAGATCTGATACTAAGTTGATTGCTGAAGAAGCTATGGAAGTCTGTTCTTGAGCCCGGCTCAAGTCCATACTATATACAAGTCTCGTTCCTGAACATCTCCTTTGTCCCTTGGGTCGTCCCCGATCATTCTGATCCAGAATGATCGTTCGGCTCCCAAGTCGTGTTGGATCATTCTGATTCGGAATGATCCTTATCTTATCAGCACGTGACTTGTCCATAGTTCTTCCGTTCCGCGAGGAGTAGCCGTGTCCCTGTTTCACCTGCATATATGGTGTGCCCGGCCGCCGTGGCCGGCAGGCTGGCCTCTGGGTTGGTCATGCATGTTGGGTCGTAACATAACTAACCATTTTTAAATTTTTTATTTTACTTTCTAACTTTTATTCATATTTAACCAGTCCCCTTATATAGTTCGCGGTTCTTTATTAATATATATATATATATATTTAAACTTTATTAAAGTTTTTTTTTTATATAATAGTTTAGTGTACTTATAATCTCCTCTTAATATTTAGCTTAGTTTAGTATATAACTTAATCCCGTATTACTTAAAAATCTCGGTTTATTTTATAAATTAGATTACCTTAATAACTATTTTATATTTATTTAGTATAACTTAAAAATTATATTATTTTAAAAAGGTTTTAAATTCTTAATACTTATTACGACCTAACACGCATAACAAGGCTAGGGCCTCGCCCCACAGGACCTGCGGCGGCTATTATACTATATATATAGAAAGACGAACTTATAGTAACTCCTCTCGGGACGGAAGAACTATAAATAAGTTATGTAACTACGATTATATAATAAAATAAGGAACGGATGCCCGTAAATAAGTAGGACGGACGATCGTAAATAAGTAGGACGAATAACCGTTCAGTAAATAGTTAGATGATAATAAATAGAAATATTATAAAGGATATATTTAGGGACGAGACTTATATATAGGATGGATGTTACGGCCAGCTAGTCGTAGTGAGTATGTTAGCAGAAGTTGAGGCTGCGAGTACTAAGTAAACAGTGTCGTAGTCGTGGATAGCTTCCCTGAAGCTATGTCTGTAAGTCGTAAGGTAGGTAAGGCTTCGGTGATCAATCGTAGTCTTGTCAGGAGGGGTTCTCAGTGAAGATAGCTGAAAGCGATCGTAAGATCTGATACTAAGTTGATTGCTGAAGAAGCTATGGAAGTCTGTTCTTGAGCCTGGCTCAAGTCCATACTATATACAAGTCTCGTTCCTGAACATATCCTTTGTGATACTACTGTTCACGATTGACCGACCGTTTACCGAACGGTCGTCCGTCCCACTTATGCACGATCGTCCGTCCCACTTTCCCACGGGCGTCCGTCCTTTATCTTATCGTGCGATCGTGGTCACGTGACTTGTCCATAGTTCTTCCGTCCCGAGAGGAGTCATCCTGAGTTCGTACTTCTGCATATATGGTGTGGTAGCCGCCGCAGGTCCTGTGGGGCAGGCCCTGGCCTTGCCATGCGTGTTGGGTCGTAACAGGTCTTAATAATATTAGTAATAGCTCGGAGAGTGTTAACTTTTTTTTATAAAGCCTAAATATCGGTACTTATTTCTTATTTTTTAAGTAAGATAATTTCGTTTTTTAAATTTTAAATACGCTAAGGACTATTCTCGAATTATTAAATTATAATTTTAAAGTTTTAAAGCTTATTTACGGTTTTATTATATATAGTTTATATGTTAATAATATTTACGTTTTCTTTTTAATTCTTTTTTTAAGTTAGTCGTAGGTCTCCTTTTTAAAAGTAATTTTATTATTGAAATTAACGTTTATTAGAACTATCTCTATTTCTTTAGCTAGGTTTTAAATAAGCTATTTAAAAAAGGTAAAGGAACTTAGAGTAAGTAATTTTATAGAGGTACAGGAAGATATTATTCGTATTATTTAGTTAGTTTTTAAAAAATAAACTTATTAAATAGGAGTAATTAAAATATTATAACTAGCTAATTATAATAAGTATATTAATAAAAGTTAAAGCTATAAGTACTAAGTAAATAATATCGTAGTTATAAATAGCTTTTTTAAAGCTATATTTATAAATTATAAAATAAATAAAGCTTTAATAATTAATTATAATTTTATTAAAAAGGGTTCTTAATAAAAATAATTAGAAGCGATCATAAGATTTAATATTAAGTTAATTATTAAAAAAGTTAAAAAAAGTCTATTTTTAAGCTTAGCTTAAGTCTATTTTATATATAAGTCTCGTCCTTAAATATATCCTCTATAGTATTCTTATTTATTATTATTTAACTATTTACTAAACGGTCGTCCGTTCTACTTATTTACGATTATTTATCTTATTTATTTATAAACGTCCGTTTTTTATTTTATTATATAATCGTAGCTACGTAATTTATTTATAGTTTTTCTATCCCGAGTAGAGTTACTTTAAGTCCGTATTTTTATATATATAATATAGTAGCTACTATAGGTCTTATAGGGCGAGGCCCTGGCCTTATTATACGTATTAGGTCGTAACACGAGGCTATTTATAAATTCTTTTATATCGGGTCCTTTTTTTATTAAGTTTAAGAAGTTACTCCTTTATATTAACTAGGAGTTTCTATTTAATTCGTCTTTTAAAAAAGTAAAGTATATTTCTTATAATAAGGTCTATTTTAGCCTTTTTTTTTATATTTTTATAAACTTAAAAGAGTATAATAATATATTTAATATTACTTTTTTTTAAAAGTACGGGGTTAATAAGTAAGTATTTTTCTTTTTTTAATTATTATTATTAAGGTTTTAATAAGAAATAAAGTAATATTATACCTAGATTATCCGCTATTTTTAAGTTATTTTAAGTATTATTTTATTTATTTTTTACTATTTTAATAAGTAAAATAGTTATTATTATAATAAGCTATTTATAAGAATTATTTATAAAGAACTTTTTTATTTATAATATTAACTCGTTTTTTTAAAATAAGTTAGTATTAAATACGCTTAAGTTATTAATAATCTCTAGCTATATATTCTAGTATATTATAAATATAATACTTAAAATTCTTTTTTTATTGCGGTTCTTTGTATTTAGTAATATTAAGGTTTATAAGTCCTCTATATTATTTATAAATAGTACTTTACTAGTTATTATTCTAATTATTTTAAAGTTATTATTTTATTCAGAAACTACGTTAGGGTTATTATTAATACTTACGTCCTATATTAAATTCCTATTTACGTTCCTTCTCCTCTTTTTTTCTTTTATAAAATTAATTATTAAGTTTAATAACGAGTTCGCTATACTAAAAGAAGTTATTTAATTTATTAAATAAAACTAGTTCGTCCTTTACTTTATCCTTAAATCTTTAATAAAATATAAATATCTTAGTATTATTTATAAGGTCTAGCTAAGTATTAAGGTATTTAAACTTAGTAAAATATTTTTTTATTAACTTAGTTTATTATAGCTATACTAAGTCGTACTTAATGCCCATGTATACGTCCAACTTCCCACGTCCTATGGCTGCGCTGGCCGCGTAGGTATTAGACTTGCCTTGCAGAGTGGTAGTTATCGCGAGACAGGGCTCACCGAGGAGACCCATTTTTGTACAATACTACATTAGCCAATGAGGAGTGTTTTAGAAAATACGGAGTGCACTGAGCGAGTAGTGATTCACGACGTACAGGTAGCCGTAAATTGTGGTACCATCTTATTCCCAGAGGATTATCCGTCGACCGCTGGAAACAAGCCCCGTCGTAGGGGCCGTCACCTCTCTGAGCTTATCGATCGGCCCAAGATTCTCAAGCTATCTGTTGCTGGTTGGACAGAACGACGCGGTCCTGAAGCAAAGTCCCTGTCGCATTGAACTGTGAAATGCAGGATCTGTCACACATAAGGTCTCTGCATGGATACCTGGCTTAGCGTGGTACTAGGCTAGGCTTGGCAAAATCCCAGCGTCTCCCAGAGGATCAGGCCCCGCAACATCAGCTCAAGAGCCCATGTCCACCCAACGGCGCGTAGGACGAACCCTGGGCGAAAGCGTTAGGGCGGCGGCTGTTACGGACATGATCTGGCGGCAACAGAGCTCTGCAAATAGTATAAATTGCAGGATCACATCGACATCCAGCTCGATGTCGTCCTCT